TTGAAAAATTTTAGATGTCAAATATGTAAAAGGATATATGTTTTTTCAAAATTATTTCAGGGGTAACAGACAAAACATTTGCAGACCACTGAATTAGTTGTGTCTGGATCATAGTTGGCATTCCATAAATATAGGCTGCATAAATATTTATTGAATATGGAATAAATACCCAAGCAGTTGTCCTCATGAAGCTATGACTGCACATTCAGAACATCACCTTTCCCCTCAAATTTAATGTAGCTCAATCCTCCTGGCTTTACGTTCAGGAATCCTCAAAGACGCGTGCAGCGCACCTCTCTGCCCTAGGGGTGACAGCAAAGACAAAGAGGATGAGATTGCACGGGCTTCTGCAGACGGCATACAATGCACGTGGCCAGCCTGAGTCACAGGTCCCCGAACTTCCTGCAGTTGCAATTTAGCGTCTGATTTTGAAATGACCACCTTAGCGGTCGCATACCTTGCGTGTTCTTGGAAATACAGATCCGTCATGCAGAGTGGTGTAACGAAGGAGATTAATCTTGTCTCTAAGGACTCAGGGCGAACCAGTCTGATCTGGTTTCCCAGATGCAATGGTCAACCTTCTGCTGTGCTCCCAGAGACCCCCGGAACATCCCCGTCCCCAGCTCCGTGCTAGTACCCCCCCTCTCTCCACTTGCCTCAAATGTTTTTCATTCCCACAGCTGGGGCGTTGCCTGCAGGCTTTCTTCTGCCTGCCCCGCTGATGACTTATTTTTGGCCTCAGAAAACCTTCTGAGATTGTTACAAACAGCGCTTGCGGGGACAAAGGATTGTCCTGATTAAAACAACAAAACTAGGACGGTCTTGCAGGGATCCGGATGGGTGGCCATCCCACATGAACGCTGCGTGATGCTTCTCTCTCCTTTCTTCCCCTCTCCTCATTAAACAGGAACAGTGTCATTATTTCGAAAACTTGAGAGTTAAACTAAGGTTTTAGTTGTGGCCAAAGGTCTATTCCATGGTCAGGACAGCCCAGATACCCAAAACAGTCCTTCTCGTCTCATTATTCTTGGGGATCTGATGACCTCGTTATTGCATTTGTGTGTCCTAACGGATGGGCGGTTACTGAAAAATAAGAATAAATTTGACCCTAAATATAAGTCTTCAATTAATAGGCCTTTTCTCCCTATAGGTTTGAGATTAACTGGGGGAAAAGGCTTAATTAGCTCAATTAGTGACTATATTTCATTTCTCTTTTTTCACTAGAATATTATTTCATTATCATTATTTGCATGACGGCCTTTTGCTGATAACTCTGGTTTACACTGAGGTTAAATGGAC